CCAGTTCTACAGTATGGATGCAGCCTGAATCTGCACTGCAGAAATAAATGCAGTTTGACATTGCTTTAACTGCCATGGCTCCATCCCAGGGGTAGGCAACCTTTCCCCTTTAAGGGCCGAGGGACTTCAGCTCCCAGAAGCCTCAGCCATGTTGGCCAATAGTCCCATGTTGGCCAATAGCTCCTGGGATTCTGGGAGCTGAAGTCCCTCGGCCCTTAAAGGGGAAAGGTTGCCTACCCCTGCAGTCCATCACCACTCCTGAGATCTGTAGTTTGCTTTGTGGTACCAGAGCTCTCTGACAGAAAAAGCTAAATATCTCACAAAACTGCAAATCCCAGAATTCCATAGCCTTGAGCCAGGACAGTTAAAGCGGTGTCAAACTGCTTTAATCAATTTCTGTAAACTGTAGACGCAGCCAAAGTTGATGTGTTTGCTTGGGCATGGCTCCTTTAACAAATAATTCTGCACAATGAGAGAGAGAGAGAGAGAGTACCCTTGAAGATTTATCTAAAGAACCACCAAGTTTCTTAATTTGAACGTTATATGTGTATGTTGTGTGCCTTCAAATTGTTCCTGACTTATGGTGATCATGGGGTTTTCTTGGCAAGATTCACTCAGAGGTTTGCCACTACCTTCCCCTGAGGCTGAGAGTGTGTGACTTGTCCAAGTGCATCCTATGGGTTTCATGACAGAGTGGGGAATCAAACCAAGGTCTCCAGAGTGGTAGTCCAACACTCAAACCACTACACCATGCTGGCTCCTATTCCCATGTACCACCTATGAAACAATTGCAGACTTTTTTTTGTAGTTCTTGTGTGTCTTCAAGTCCTTTCCGACTTATGGCGACCCTAAGACAACCTTATCATGGGGTTTTCTTGGCATGTTTCTTCAAATGGGGGTTGCCATTACCATTCTACGAGGCTGTGAGTGTGTGACATGCCCAGGGTCACTTACTTGACCACAAATTGTACATACCCCAGAATGCATCACCTAGTATATTGGCAGTCCTTCCCCTTCAACACTTTCTCATTTCCCCCCAATCATCTCATAGCTGAGATATGGAAATAATTTTTAAAGCAGCATTTAAATCTGAACTATTTTTTAAAAAATAAGGTCCAAAACACACTGCAGAAATAAACGCTAGGGAACATGGGAGTTGTAGTTTGTTGTGTTTATAAGTAACAGTTTTCCTGCTAAGTACCTGCATGTCATAAGCATTTGAATTAAAATTACCATATTGAAACCAAATCTGATGTTTTTTAAAAATTTTATTTGCTGTGCGTTGGAAGAGGGGTAGTCTAATATGGCGAGTATATCCCACTCTGTATTTCAACTGGAAAAGTTGGGGGTTGTCTTATACGTCCAGTTGTCTTATACCCTGGAAAATATGGTACTGAAAAAGCTGAGGCACTCTTTTTTCTTAATTAATTTGGACATATATTTTACTTATACGCCCCCCCAAAAGGAAGAATTATTTAATTCCCACTCAGCAACCCACCCCACACAAAACTGAATTGCCTTCTCTAACTATACTTTTGTTACTGTTCCAAGCATGATGCATCTGATAAAGAGATGCAGCAATATCATCCTCCTAGTATCTGAATGGAAAGAGAAAAAGCCAACACAGTTAACTGGCAAGAAAATGAGCAGGCAGATTATCCTGTGGTGCTTCAGAGTCGAAGAAACATTTATTTCTTGTGTTCCTGGCTGCTCAATGGCATTTCTGCTATGGCAGCTAGTTTGGAAATTACTAAACTAGACATAAAAAGAAGAAAATGTTACAATATTTCTGATATGGCTATACATATATAGGAAGAAACAAATCCTTCAAACATTATAATCTACATGTTATGTAAGATATTGTCTTCACTAGGCAGAAGACCAAAAGGTCTGGTTTCCTGTCTGTAGGAAGGGCGTGGGCCAAACTTCAGGAACATAGCAGTCAGAATTAGCCTGGTTGAAATCAAGGGTAAGAGTCATGTGGTCCTCCAGATGTTCTTAAACAGCAACCACCAGCAAGCCTAGCCATACAGAAAATAGTAAGTAAGTAATATTGGAAGTTGCACTCCAACAACATCTGAAAAGCTACATAATTTCCATTGCTTGGTCTAAGTGGAAACAGCAAGAACAGCTGGGTTTCACTGTCTAGGAGACAAAGACAAACCAAAGCAGGAGAGTAAGGAAAAACAGCTTCTGTTTTTGTAACTACTGTCAAACCTCCACATTTATGGCTTTGGCTTTTATGGATCTGATTATTCACAGATTTGGATAATATGTTATCTCTAGGAATCGCTAGGTCCTCCAGTGTGACTCTATGGTTATCTACCAGAAGTCACACTTGAAGATCTAGCGATTCTTAGAGAGAACACTTCTCTAGGCATTTATAGGTTTTCCCATGCAATTCTATGGTCAACATCTGGCAGAGGTTGACCATGGACATGCACTGGAGGACCTAGAAATTCCTAGACAGGTCTTCTCTCAGTATTTTTTTATTTGCAGTTTTTCCACTTTCACAGGGACCCTATGCCTCTAACCCTAGCGAATGTGGAGGGATCACTGTATTCTCATTTTACAAGGCAGAGGCAAACAAGACAAGGCTACTTAAAACAATATATTAAAAAGATAAAGCTCTATCAATGTTACTTGAGCAAACTAAAGCAGTGCTGCTGTAGGGTGATCAGACTTCACTTACGCCTTTTCTGTGAGTATTTGGTTACTGCAATTGCCCCTCAATATGATCTTG